GGCTTTACAAAAATTATAGCATTTATTTATTCATCTTGTTTTTAAAATTTTTCTTTTAAACATCTCTTAGGAGGCTGTGTTCAAGATGGTATGTAATTCATCCAGGTTAAAAAGTTCTGCTTCAATTCTATCTTTCAAAGTTAATCTCTCTCTCTCTCTCTATCCTCCCCCACTATATCCATACTACCCTGAATGCACCCGATTTCATCTCTTTCTGTATCTCATGCATATGTACACATATCCATATAGGCAGTTATGATAAATTTTCTTATAATATATTAGCCAGTTTTGTTGTTATACCTAAATTTGAATACTAATTCTTTATCCATTCATTCAGGATTTACTTCTACAGAATAGAGACAGATTGGTTTGGGTTATAGTTCCTGTTTTTACTATTTCTTAGCAGTGAAGAGAAGACTTAGTCTGTTATAAATATTTTATTAAAACATTTTTGTCTCTAGCATTATTTTAACTTAAAAACAATATGTGAAAATCTACCTTCATTCCACTCCCATTCTCTCCCCCCAAAAATCTTTATTATTTAGAAGTTTTACTTAGATTTTTTTTCTGAATAGTCATCATATAATGATCAGTATGTTGGTATTTTTAATCCTTCATTGTTTTATTATTGATTATCTGTGCTGTATTTAAAATCCTTCAGACAAACCTTCTTTTAAGTATAAAACCTCAAGAAGAACAGAAGAAAAGTCTAGACGTGAAGGATGAAAAATGCTCCGTGTCACAGGCTGTGGCTGTCACATATTCTCTATTCCAAGAAAAGAAAATGTCTTTGGTAAGTGTTCTTTGAAGTTACAAAGAATTTTTTAGTTTATTTAAACTTGTGTTTTTTCAGTCTTTCAGTATTAAAACTGTGACTTGGGATCAGTTTCTTCTAATTTACAAAATGTCTCATTTTATCTTTAATTTTGAAACAGAATGTCATTTTCTTTTTCCACTAAGCCTAGCTCTACCAACAATAACAGCTTAACCATGATTTTCATACAGAGGTGTTATCCAGGTTACACCTAAGTACATTTAATACTCAGAGATTCTGTAGCAGCAGTATTTCAAATCTTTTCAGAAAGAAAATGGGATTAAAAATTTAAAACTATGTAACAGTACATTTATATGTACCATTAGAAACTATCATCTGGAGCTGAGATGTTTAGTGGTAGAGTGCTTGCCTAGTATTTGTGAGGTCCTAAGTTTAATCCTCAGCACTACCAAAATTAAATAATCTTCAGGAACTTGAGGTGAGAAGGACCCCTGCACCGACCAAAGCTGTACACTGCTGCACTCCTGTATCCAGCACCAACATTGTCACCATGCCCAAGAGAATGACTGAAGAGAATGCCAAAGGAGATAAAGCCAAGATGAAGAACGAACCATGGGAAAGGTCCACAAGGTTGTCTGCTAAACTTGCTCCTTCAGGCCAGAAGCCAGGACCCTAAAGGCCCCTGTAGAGAAGGGATGGGAGGTGCCCAAAGGGGAAAAGGGAAAAGGTGATGCTGGTAAGGATGGGATAACCCTGCAGAAAATGGAGCTACATTGCCAGACTGGGCACAGAAAGTGACAGGTGCTGGTGATACTGAGTGAAGCGTGTACAGTTTTTGTAACTACTTCTGGTGATTGTACAGTTTGAAATGCTGTTTTTAAATGAAGATTTATGAAAATGCAGAATTTTGTCTTTTTAAGCTATGTTGTTAGCACATAGTACACTTCATTGTTTTTTTTTTTGGGGGGGGGAGAAGAACATATTCATTAATGTAATGTGTCCAAAGCTGGATTGATGTGGAGAGAATATTCTTCCCTGCTAGTTTTGAGAGACTCCCTCTTGGCTTCCAGAAAGGGGTTCCCTGATGTAAGAATAAAAATAAATGCCTTGTGGTGTGGAAAAAACAGATTATTTTTATGTCTTCCAATTCTTCTCTGCCATCAGCATAGACTTAACTCCCTTAAACCTTGAGACCTATTGGGAACTGACTCCTCCAAACTGGTGTTACCAGTACATCAGGTGATGTTGACCTGGCGGTGACATTGAGATGGTATTTCTAGATTGCAGGTCTTCAGGTTGTTAATTTTCTATTTTCATTCCATTTTCTGAAAGTCAGAGTTGTGCTGTGAAAAGTTGTTAAATAATATGCTAAATAAGAAATGTCAGTCCTCTCTTTAAACTTTCTCTAGTCAGAGCATCAAATGAAAACTATTTTTGTAGTGGTTTTAAGTGGCTTTCTGATTTTTTTGGTCATCCATCCAGTAAGGAAATTTGAAAGTTGTGTACTGTTAATGATGTATACCTGAAACATCATGATTATTTATGAAAATTATCTGTAGTAAAGCTGGCTAATTTGGCTTGCAAAAAAAGAGATCTTTAAGACTTTAAGTTTTTAAAAAGGAAGGTAAAAAGAAAATGTGTGTATATATTCATGCTTTTACCTTCCTTGACTTTGTATGTCTAAAAATATAGGATTTCTAGAAGGATAACTGAAAAGCTGGAAATAAGTTTTTTGGGTGTTTTTTTGAAATTCACTTAGTATGTATTAGCAATGTTTTTTAAAACTATGCCAGATTCTCTTTGCATAAATAAATAAATAAATAAATCTATTGTTATAGAGAGGCCATATTTCATGTTTCCTTATTATTCTAACGCAAATCCTTAAGGCTACTGAAGCTTGATATTTTTTCTTTTTTGATATTCAAAGTGTAGATAAGTCCATAGCTTATTTAACTTAAACGTAACTAGTCAGGTTCTTCAATTAAAAGTACAAAAGCCATTACTCAAGAAACCAAGTAATTCCATTAAGAGAGTTGAATTCTTGTGTAAATGTTAACTTACATATACATGTTAAAAATGCCTTTATCCATCATTTTTAAGAAAGTTTGGTATGAGCTCTAAATTTTCCTAATAATGTGCTTTCTAGTATTATATGTGGTTCCATATATTATGTTACCTATTCATGATTAAAGATTTGAAGAATAGTGTATCATCATTTATGTTTTTTGGCGTTATTTGGTAGTATTTTATTTTGTGATAGGATGGTTAATTGTCTGTACCTCCCTAGAGCCCAGAGGGTCTTGCTAATTAGCCACAAAATTAAACTTGCCTAAGGACTTATTAATCAGGAGAAATAATATAATTAGGTTGAAGTAACTTGATGCCTAGTATCAAATAACCCTGATATTATGCACACATGGTACACACTTTCTAGTAGAAAATAGTAGACATTTAATGAAGATAATTTAGTGTACTCTAAAGGATGAAAATACTGGTCTATTCTGTGAAAGTATCAGCATCCACACAAATGTTGTCTAAATTCACACTTTAAAAATGTATTGCCAGAATATCATGAAATACTTTAGATTTGAGCTATATGCTCAGAATTGTCTTAAATTTGAAGTCACATTTGTTTCAAAAGCTGTATAAATATGAAACATTATTCTAAATTAAACATTAAGTTCAATAGTAAGACAGTGGTGACAGGCCTTGCTAAAAGTGTAGTTACTATTTTATGAATAGAAACAATGCAAAACACCCATTAAAGTCTTCTCAAGAGCCTTTTATGTCAGACATCTGGAGTCATACATTATTACTATGCATTTTAAAATTTGTCTCCTTGGAAATTCACAAAATCAAAGCATCATGCATTATTTCACGTGTACAGACTATTAGAATACAGTTCTACTTCCAAAAGGTTGTGACAACTATTAGACTTACATAGGATAATCTCTTCCTGTCACTGAAAGCTTTGTAAAGTGAATGGAGAGGGATGAGGATTGCATGCTTATCTAATGTTGGGTGCTTTTGTTCTTGTCATTCTACAAGTATGAAAAGTAGAACCTGTGGAGGTCTTTAGTATTAAATGCAAATCTTAGGTGCAAGTTTAGCCCATTGTTTTGTTCTCAGTAAATATTTACTACCTTAGCTTTTGATTATTTTTGTTTCATGAAGTACAGTGGAAACAAAAAGCTCAATGGTTCTTTTGCTGTTATTTCTGTAGAACCGCATAGCCAAGGAAAGGATTCTGCCGCTCACAGTGGTTGGCCTGCATTTAGCCCAAGCAATGAAAGCTGGCTACTCCCTGGATGTGGAGCGAGCAGGGCTGACTCCAGAGGTTCAGAAGATTATTGCTGATGTTATCCGAAACCCTCCTGTCAACTCAGGTGATAAACAGGACCCTGTGCCACAGCATTAATGACTTGAGTTACCAAACCCAGATGAAGTAAACAAGCAATCAGCTAATACTTTGCCCTTGAACAGCGTCTACCCTTTATGCTGCTTTGAAGACCTTACTTTGTTTGTTTGTTTGCTTTTATATGTTGGTTTGAGGAAAATAATCTTTCCATTATCACTTAGAGGAAAAAGACTAAAAATGATTTTTTTCCTTTTTAACTTCATATTACATCTTCCCCACCTTTCCCCAAACAGGGCACATTTGCCCTTTTCTAATTTCTACTTAATTACATACAAAAACCACATTTTTCTTTATATCCATTCCCAGCAGCTTACTGGCTGCCTGTGTTCCCCTAAACTTTTTGATTCCTCATCAGTGATTTCACTTGAATACCCTCTCCAGTAAGCATGGTTCATTGTGACATGGGACAGTGGCTAAGCTCTGTAGCCTTTGGAGAAGGTTTTTTCTTGGTCTATGCTGCAGAACCTCTGTCGTGTTCATTGAGGTGAATGAAGACCCTTTGGTTTTCCTGCGGAATTTTTAAAATTTTGAGACAGGATCTCCCCAGGTTGTTCAGGCTGGGCTTGAACTTGAGATCCTCTTGCCTCAGCCTCCCATAAGTGTTGGGATTACTGGCATTTCTGGTTTGTCCTAGACATTTTTAAGTAATGATCCATTTTTCCAGTAAATTTGAAATATATTAGGGGATTTTCTCCTTAAATGCAGAAATGTGAATTTAGTTTGTTATAATAAATCTGCTATTTTTAGATTGTTAGGACAGAGAATAATTACTTTTTAGTGACTCATATTTTGAAACACATGGAAGCAAACATTCTTCCCAAGAATTTGGAAATAAAAAAAGTAAGATCACTCTGAAATCACAAGCGTACTATTGTAATGATCAGAGCAAAAGTAAGTCACTATAAAAGCAGCATTATTTCTAGGCTTGTGCCAGACTTGACTGAAGGCGCAAAGCACAAGCATCTCCTTACTTCTGTTGATCGACAGTGGAGGACAAGAAAAGGAGAGACACAGACAAGCTTGAGTGGCTGATCCAGGGATGAGGAGTGGTTGCCAGTGAGATTTCAGCACTATTAAGCTCTGTGGAGATGTTATGTTGTGATTATAGTTGAGAAAGACTTCATACTTCATCTTAGCCAAAAGGCGATAAGAGGGACTCTTAACAAGTAATTCTATGCTTTGTCCCACCTTTCTGGGTACTATTTGATTTCCCATGTATATCTTTATAGGAAAAGCATGCCGTAGTCATGCTAATTTGAATATATGATGATTGTGCTTGCATAATTTTGTAACCTGTGGATCTGCTAAGGTTAAATTAGGTTTCTGAGTTTGAAAACCAAAGGGCAAAGTCCTGGACTGTGTAGTTAAATATGCAGGGGAATTTAGCTGTCAGTCATCATATGAAAAAAAGCAACTCTTCTGAGCATATTCCAGTCTAATATCAGTAGCTAGTTTGCTAGAAATTAGAGCAAAAGGAGGGAAATAATGATTACTTTGTAAGACTAGATCATAGTTGTATAAACCTGTTTTTCCAATGCAAATGACAGTGTTAGGGAAAGTCAAAGATTCAGATGCCTTCTTGGTTTTAATACTGTGGAATTATTTTATCCATTATACATGTTTGTCTCTAAGGAATCAGAAAAATATGTGTCTTTTGATGAGATGTTCAGCAGTAGGCAATATTCTCTGAAAGAGTTTGTGTGGCTTTTTTTTCTTTTCTTTTAAATATTGACTATCACATTTGCTACCTTTCCTCAAACCTGAAGGCTAACAGATGGTGTTAACCTCATCAGTAAGGGCAAAGGCTCTGGCAACAAATAGATCTGTGCTAAGACCTTGACCCTACAAGGTATAGTAAATGTGACCATTGGTGTACGAACCTAATCACGCTGAATTTTGTTTCCTTCTCTCTAAAGTGAGGAAGGATAAACTGCATCTTACAGAATTGTGAGAAATAAATTAGATACTACACAGAAAGCATGGCGCATGATTTGCACCATTGCTGATTTGTGATATTTAATATTACTATTTGTCCAATTTTACTATTTGAGAACAAAGTAAAAAATCTTATATTGGAAGTGACAGCCCATGCTTATCAAGCACACATTTTATATTGCTCAACTTAGAGTCTTTTGTCTCAGGAGGCTGAAGTTGTTAATTTATACAGAGTAAAGAAATTTATCAGTTCATATAACTAAGAAATAAAAAATAAGACTAAATTCGAGCATGGTTGAGTTCAGAAACTCACGTATTGAATTTAATAGCTGGACTCTTATCTTTTGCCCAGCCTGGCCACACTTTCTTCTGCTTTGGCTTCATTTTTAAGGTCCATGTGGTCACAAGATGGCAGCAGCTGCACCAGCCATAGTAGTTGGTAAATGGTGGTAGTAAAAGATGACAATGATTGAAGAAGTAGATGGGAAGATTTTATAGCATGTTAAAAGTACCTTTAAAATGTAATTATTTTTATTCTCCTTTTTAATAGCTAATTAAGATTATATGAAGTTAATAAATAAGTACATTAGAAGGAAAGTTTAAAAAACTGCACAGTGGTCCCTTGTGATCTGTGGAGGGATTGGTTTCACAACATCTCTGCTTCTTCCCCCAATAAATAGTAAGATCAGTAGATTATAAAGTGTCTCTTTTATAAGAGGTTATAGTATTTTTATGTAATCGACACACATCCTCCTGTATACTTTAAATTATCTCTAAATTACATATAATATTATAATGTAACTGGTATGTAAATAGTCCTATTGAAATGTTTATGAAATGACAACAAAAAGTATGTATATGTTTCATAGAGATGCAAAGTTTTTTAAAAAAATTCAACCCGTGATTTGTAAATCCAGGATGCAAAACCCACAGATGTTAGAAAATTATGGCAGGTTATAGTAATTTTTCTGTGTATATGTGCACTGAAGAATTCCTGTGCATTGTTCCTGAATAAACACAAAATGAGTGTTCTAGTTTTACTTTGTTATTGGCAAAGGAAAATGGTAGTGGAAGATTTAAGATTGTATTATTCAGCTAGATATTGACAATATCTGTTTTATGTGGCTATGGTAAAGAACAGAAGTGTTGTTAATATCATTTCTAAATCATATAGTCATAAAATTATAGTACGTTCAATTTGAAAAATAAATTAGAAACATTAAATTTTCTCTTTCCTTGTTTGGAGATAGGAAAATGAAGCCTACAATGATGCAAAATTGTTTCAATATCATGTCTAAGACTAATGACAAAGATTTTCTTAGTACTGTATTATGTTTGAGTTGTATTGCCAATTAGCTTGAAGGGCATATGGAATTTGTAGTTCTGATATAGATTTATAAAACTTTAAATTGATGAGTACAATAAATTGATTATATTCATTTTAATATCTTAATATCTGTCAGGACTACCACCATTTCTAGTACTCTATGCATTATGAGTTTAGCAGTTTGTGATAATTTCTAAGTTAAGATATATGAAAGTGTAGCATAATATACAAAGATTAAAAATGATTGTAATTGAATAGCCCAATTCAACAAATATTGGGGAATTGTAAAAATATTTTGAAACAATATTAGTCAAACATTTTTCTTTTTCACCATATACAAAGTATATAATGTTACATACATTTTTAGAGATAAATGTTAAATTGAAATTGCAAAGAACAGCAGAATGTGTTTTAAAATATACCTATTAATACTGTCTCTGTCAATATATTGTATTTGGGTTGAACCTAATTTTTTTTTTTTTCTGTATTTTAGGGAAGGGTCTACAGGGTGTTCAGGGTCTTACTAGTAGACCAGACTTGTAGTGATCCACCTGTTTACAGCCTCCCAAGAGTTGGGATTACAGGCACATGCCACCACACCCAGTCTCAATTGCTGTCTCAGCACGCCCCAGGGGCAGAGCTGGCTCTGCAGGTCTGGGAATCAAACCCCCAGCCCCTGTGTCTGCTTTCAGGCACTTCAATTTGCTGAGCTATTTGGCCAGAACATAAAATATTAAAAGTGGATTTTTTTTTGTAGTGTGCTTCCAGAGCCAAAATAGATGAAGTTAAAATGGTGGTAGTAACCCGAAGCTCTTACTTCTTTTGACAGTACTTTTGTATCTCTATGATATCTTGTGTTGATGTGAGATTTTGCTTTGCAGTTGTTTTTATCTTATAAAATAGTATTTGTTTTCTTGAGAAAACAAACACTATTAAAATATGAAAAATGAAATCTAGTACTTTAATGATTTAGATGTTTTTTCAACTTTAACTATAACCTATCAAATAACTCAGTGTTTTAATGAACAAATTTGATTGATATCGAAGTTTTACACAATACTGAATTGAGAAATTTTCTATAAAATAATCATTGATAGTATGGATTTTTAAAAAATTAGTTTGCAACATTTTGTTTAGAGGATAAGTAATTGAGGCTGTATAACTTATAAAACTTTTAATAACCTACAAAAGAAACTGAATATAGTATTTTATAGTTTTATTATACTATAATAAGATTGGAATGTGGAAATTTTATATAGTTTTATAGAGAAGCACTAGGTAATACAGATATAATATAAACCACAAAAGAAATTAAAATTTTCTAGTTGCCATGTTTTAAACTATAAGCCATTGCAATAAATTTTTAATATAATTTAACTACCTCAGTATACTTAAAATTTTATCATCTCAACATTTAATCAGTATAAAAATTAACAATATATTTCACATATTTTTCTATAATAAGCTTTTAAAATTTGGTGTTTTACATGTAGAGCATATGTTCTAGTGTGAAAATTAATAATTGGTATGTACTTAGTTCTCATAAAATTTACAGTGCAACAAAGTGTATTGGCATAACCAAATTGTTTCAAAGTACTTAAAATTTTTCCAGTAAATGAATCAAGTATCAATGTTTAAATTTAATTTTGAATTACTGTGAAATACTTAAATTTGAATTGTTTTTCATTCTAAATGCTCAGTAGCAACATATGGTTAGAAGTGACTGTATTAAAAACAATTCTAGAGATAGTTTGGCAGTATATACCAGGACACAGCTTATGTCTGACTTTTGAGCTACCAATCCCACTTTTGGGGACCTAGAGTTACGGAAAGATGTATATAATATGATGATGTTCCTTAGAACACCTAAAACAAAGATAAATGAAAGATAAATAAAAGACATCACAATATTCTTCATCCATTAAAAATTGATGTAGTTGGGCCATCCAGATAGCTCAGCAGATTAAAGCGTCTGCTTAGGCCAACATAGGGAGCCCTGCTGGCCCTGCCCCTGGGCACACGGAGATGGTGATTGAGACTGGATGTGGTGGCACGAGCCTATAATCCCAGCTCTTGGGAGGCTGAAAACAGGAGAATCATTAGTTCAATCTGTGTAGTGAGACCCTGTAGATCCTGTAGACCCTGTACTAAATAAATAAATAAAAAGGTGAAGTATAATTGGTATTTCTCTGGTATTATGATTATATAATGACCAAAAGACAAAGTGTTAGTTTGGTTGATATGTAAGATAGCCACAGCCAGGTGTGGTGGCACACACCTGAATTTTAGCACTTTGGAGGCTAAAGCAGGAAGATTGTTTTGAGTTTGAAGCTAGCTTGAACTACACAGCAAGAATAACACCAAAGAGTGACAACCACCACCACCAGATAATCAAATTGCTGATTTTCTTATATATAGAACTGATCAGTCTTTTCCTAAGACTATGCTTATCTCCAGTCTTGAATATTAAAATTTAAAGTACTTAAATAACCTACTGTACTAGTTTGTATTAGCTGTGTAACTGTCTCTTCTTTTTGTTTCTTTTTTCTTTTAACTGCAGTGTTTTGAGGAATTCTCAAAATATTAAGCTAAGACACTGTGGTAATTTAAAATCAACTTTTCAGGGTGGCATTCTAAAAGACTACTGAATTCTGGCCACAGAGTTGTGTCAGAAATGTATGATACATTTTATAAATTACATGAAGATAGGTAGGCTCTAGTTGCTTAAAGTACTCTGGAACATTGTAGATAAATACAGTGGTACCTTGGTTCACAGACTTAATTTGTTTCATGATTCTGGAAAAGATAGCCCTGTTTGTGTTTATCACCCTATGTAGAGTTCACAGACAAAAATGAAATTTTGCCAAACCAAATTGTTCACAAATGAAAGTGTCCATCAACCAAGTGTATAATGTTGGGAGAAACACTGTTTGAAACAGTGTTTTATTTGTAAGAGATTGCCATCAAATTTCTAGAAGATGTAAAGATATTGACACTGTCTGAATTAGTTCTTTTGAGTTACAAAAATTATAGTTCCTTGATTCTGAAAATAAGACATGTTTCCCCCAAGAAGCTTGGTTAATAAACATTTTAAATGATTGGTGTATTTTGTTGTGCTATAATGTCCATTGAAATAATCCTTTTGTTAGGATCTAGTTCTAAGTGTAATTAGCTTATACTTTAACAGAAAGTTATCTTTAAGAATAATTATAATTGATACTTAAAATTTGAAGCAATTTACTTTAGAAACTGAGCTGTCATTTTGATTCTTGGGAGCTTATTGAAGACAGTTTCAAATATAATTTGTAAAGAGTCAGTGGGATTCGCCTATCTTGGAATCAAGGAGCCCAGGTAATGCAGGAGGATCAAGGACATGTTTTATTGCATTTATGTTCTGTAGATGTCTAGGTTTTGAGAAACAAAAATTGACAACCTTTCTTTTTCCTTTTTACAAAATATTTTATTTCTAGCTCATCAGTTTTCTGAAATATTCTATATGATTTGTTTTAAAAATTATTTATTCATGTTTTACAGATATGAGTAAAATTAAACTAATTAGAATGTTAGTTCCTGAAAATATTGACACCTACCTTATCCACATGGTAATTGAGATACTGGAAAGTGATCGTGGCCACACAGTCTTATGCCAGCCTTCATGTGACTCCAGCAAAAAGAGATGTTTCCCCAACTCTGAAGAGAGCTCTTCAAGTTCTAAGAGAAGCAAGGAAGAAATAGGCACAAATACCAAGGTGTTAATTATATGCAGAATTTTCAAAATGTCGATTTGTTTAGTTTGCAAGTTCTAATGCTAAAATGCTGTGCTTTTTGAACTGTTATATATTGTAATATAAAGTTACTTCATCTGTGTGCTTTTCATAATATGATCTGAGAAAAATGATTTTTTAAAAGAAGACAGTAAAAGGAGAAGATAATCCATCTATTTAGTATACTGTATAGACTGTCATCTTAAGTTGTACCTGTATTAGCTTTATAACCTGGAAAGTTTTTGCTTTCAAATGTGTAATCAGTCAGTAGTTTCAAGTCTATGACAGTTCATATGGTTAATGAAAACAAACTGATTTATATATCATTCTGTCATTCATTATGCTTTCTTAATATTATATTGAGTATTTAGGGTACCAGGATAATTGTTGCTCGTGATTCTGAGCATTTTATAATTTTTTTGCATAGCCAGAGAAAAACTATAAATGTAATAATACTTTAGGTGGTATATTAAAATCAAGTGCTTGGTAAATTATTGCTTAGTGAATTAAATGAGGTGATGTATTCTTTAGCAAGATGATTATTAAATGATTGTGTAAATCTGAAAATTTGATCTTCAGTATCTTTCAGGTCTAAAATTACATGAATGCATTATAAAATTATTAAGCTTTTAATAATTTGCTAAAAATTCTTTTCTTAGATAATAAACTTAGTGTGGTACTTAGTGGTTGTTAATATTTGCATTACAAGATTAGAGATTCTGGGGCCGGGGAGATAGCTCAGTGGGATAAGCGCTTGACTGACAAATGCAAGGATCTGAGTTTAATCCTCGGTTCCGCAAAAAAAAAAAAAAAAAAAAAAAATGATTAGAGATTCTATTTTAGTTCTAAGGTAACTATATTTTCAAAAATTAAACTCTTAATTTCTGAATAGCTTAAAAAATAATGGGAGCTGGTACTTATAAATTCTGTACTTCAGTAGGGTTTGTATATAATTACATTCTGGATAACTCAGTGACATATAATTAGTTGTAAATTTCATCTTTTTATAATTAGCTAAAAGATGGATGGTAAAGAAAATATATCTTGGGTAGAATTAATGAAATCAAACTATACCCAGGCTTTTATTTTTGTGATATATACTAAGTACCTAAGGTTCTCCTGTTTGTTTCCCAATTTCTGCCTATCAATACAGCAATAGATATAGCTTGTTATTTTTACATTTATAGTAAAATATTATTTTAATTTCATAGTAGCATTTTGGCTTTTCCTCTATTAAAATAATACCACATACCAAAGGAGAGTGATGAGATAGTAAGCCTACAGGATTCTAAAAGGGGTAGCTAATTTAGTTCTTTCCCCTCACATTGGGGAACAAGGGAATTAGGGCAGGGGATTAGAGTAAGAGGCAGTCAATCCATAAAAGCATCATTTCTTCATCTTTCCTGTATAGAATGCTGCTCTGATTACAGTAGAATGTGTTGCAGGCCTATGTAGCTTCAAAATCTCCTGTTACCATTTGTCTTCTTTGTTGATCTGGATTCTATCCCTTTTGCTATTTCATCTTACAAATATATGGCCTCTGATAAAGAATAAAGTCACTAGAATTAATTTCTTTTTTTTTATTAGTTGTTACATTGTCATGGCTATGGGGCTGGGGTTGTAGCTCAGCAGCACAGGCTTGCCTGGAAAGTGTGAGGTTGTGAGTTAGATTCCTGATACCAAAACCTGTCACACACCTCAAAAAAAATTGTTCTGGCTTCATTCATTGTGTTTGCTATTAAAACGGAAAATTATGCCTTGTTTAATGGAAGACTATGTCTTGTCATTGATAATTGTGTTTCAATACACCTAGAAACATAGTGGGTTCTTTGTGTTTCTTTTTCCCCCTTCTGGAAAGTTCTCTTAAATTATGGTTTTAAAATTTATTTCCAGAAAGTTTTTGTAAATTACAGTGTTCAGTATCTTGTTCTATTTTTTTTTTTTTTTTTTGCGGAACCGGGGATTGAACTCAGGCCCTTGTGCTTGCCAGGGAAGCACTTATTCCACTGAGCCATCTCCCCAGCCCCTCTTGTTCTATTTTTTAAAATGTATTTAATACAGGGTCTCACTACACAGATCAGACTCGTAGTGATCCTCTTGTATTTAGCCTTCCAAGCGCTGGGATTACAGGTGTGTGCTCCATTGCTTTTTAATTCAATTTCTTTTTCTTACGTTAGGTCTTCATATACAGCTTCATTGTTTGTGAATAATTTGGTTTTTGGTGTTGTTAATACTGGATGTGGAACTGCCTGGACCTGATATGTAGTCAGCAAGCATTCTACCACTGAACTGTACCCTCAGTCTCAATTTCCATTCCATTAAATTTTTTTATCTTGCATTTTTATTTGAATATCTTTTCTGTTAGTACTGTTTTTCGTATTATGAAATGTTGACTTCATTAGTTCTTCTTGTTCACTTGTTTTCTGATTCTCCCCTGAGTCTCTTTTAGTTTTGAATTTTTTCATTTTGTGTCTTATGGCATTCTTTCATGTTTAGACTATTTTAAAAAATGTTTTCAGCTCATCTTGAAAAGTTGCAGTTTCAGCTTGGTATGGTGGTACATGTTTGTAGTCCCATCACTCTGGAGGCTTAGGCAGGAGGATCACCATGAATTTGAGGCCAGCCTGGACAATAGTGAGTTCAAGGACAACTTGAGCTACATAGTGCCTAGCAAGACTCTGTCTCAAAAAACAAAAAAAGCAAAAACAAAAGTTGTACTTTTATTCTAACTTGATCAAGTCATTCTGGTGGGATAGGTGACCTTGATACTTGTCTGTTGCTCGTTTTCATGTAAAATTAGTTTTTCTACACTTTAACAAAAGGTATGGCTCAGGATGGCTTTTCCAGTTCCCTAGTTCTAATAATTTTATGCAGTATTTAAAATATGAAAGCATGCTTTCTGAACTATACCACTGTGTTTACGGACCTTTCTCTTCTGCTTTGTTTCTGTTGTACCTGTCCTACTTGACTCTGAACACCAGCATTTTTTCTTGCATCTGGGGCCTCCTCCTGGAAGGTGGCTGTAACTGGTCAGAGTTCATGGGAGTCAGCTGTCCTAGCTGCTTCGGATGCTTAGTGGGGACTTGTTATACCTACTGCTGTTAGACTGGACAGAATCTCCCCTCCTTCCCCTTTTCTGATGCTCTTTTCACATTATTCCATGGTGCTTTACAGAGTCAGTCTTTGGACTCTTTGGGGTTCTCTGATGTTTGCAGATAGCTCATTGCTTGCGATTTTCTCCCATATAGATGTGTTTGTCATGCAAGTGGTAATGGCTAGCTATTGGTGGTTTGTTCTTGCATGCTTACAGTTTGGTTTGTCTGAAGATACCTACAAATTTAACTTCATTGTAAATGTAGAAGATGAGTTTTACTTTTGTTGTCTAATTTTATCCATTTTATTGCTAGGATTCATAAATATATAAAAATTACAGATAATAGGAAGTAGTGTGGTAGATCTTTTTTCAAATGGAAAGAAGATTTAAGAGGTAGGGGGTGACGGAAAAATTGAAATGTGTCACATGCATATCAACTCCCTATGAAGAATATGGTCATATGACTGTAAACGTACTAATAAAATATAAAAATAGAAAAAAAGAGAAAAGTGCAAGGTATAACTATTTTGTATCATATAAAACTTTCATAGGCTGATGAAAAACATCTTGATAATTTTTCACTGAAAGACAAATGCCATGGAACTTCATTAAAAGTAGCTTCTTGGAATCAGCCATCTGATGATGCAAAACTAGAAGATTTATTTTCAGATTCTCATTCACAGGTAAAGTTATGAAAATAGTTTTGATGATAATTGCATCAGGCTTGATAATTAGTAATTTTCAACTTTTTACTTATAGGTGAGAATAAATATGATTGTCATATATTTCTCTACTTATATGTGTATATATAATCAGCAAATGAGTTAATGTTTTCTATTCACAAAATATATCAGTGATAGCTTTGTAATATAACTTAAAGTTTCAAAAAGTGATAAATAACTCCTTAAATTTTTATTATGACTGCTGGAAATATAGTGTTCTACTGATGAAGGAAATAAGCACTAGAAGATACTGTTCCCGTCTAGTGACCTGAGCCTGTGATTCAGATCTCTTTGGATACTTATTGTAGAGACTCAAAAGACGTACACAGTATACATGTCTTCCTCTTCCCAGTGAAATAAGATTATTGTAATGGTAGAATAAATACTGATGATCATATTCCATTCAATATTATAGGAAATAAAATTTTAAATGGTATTAGCTACAAGTTAATGCGTGACAAGAAAAATCAGAATTTTTTCTGATACTTTGTGCATATTCTCATTTAACACCACATAATTTGTTGATGTTATATGCTAGTATTCCCATTTTCTGTTTGAAGAAATTAAAGTTTAACATGCATATGATACATTTAGTAGGTGGATCAATTAGAATTCAAAATTAGTTTTTGTTTTAAAGTCCATCTTTATTACATGATATTAGACTATGTAAGAGTAGGGGTTTCCCCTGTGTTTTATTACTGTTCAGATGTCTGTGTGTTTTATTCTTTGGCTTTATTATAATTTTAACTCTTCCCAGCATGCCCCTTTAAAAACACTAGGGGTCCAGCCTCTAATTGCAGCAACTGTATTTGTCTGTGATTGTAAGGGATTTTATATTAAGATCTGTTGGAAAGAATAGGTGTTGCTGATCTTTTGGTGAAGGTTGCTGGGGATTGATCCAAAGGCCTTGTGCATGCAAGCACATTTTCTGTCAACAAAATGCTTTTTCTCTTTGTATCCTTATATCTCTAACACTTGTTATTTCCTATTTCAGTGGTATAGGATCTTTTCATAAGTATACATAAGTTTCATCTGTTCTGATTTTCTCTTCCTTGTTTGGAAATGAATATCCAGGAACAGGGTTGCCATATCTTAGCTATTTCTTTCCTGTAGCTTTTGCAGTAATGTGAGTAGCCTTTTCATCAACATTGGATTTCTTTACTTAAGCTTGAGCAGCCAACAATTCTTACTTTTTTCAGTTATAAAATTTTGCAATCTTTACCAAGAATCTTTTGCTTGTTTACTTAACTTTCAATATCTTAAAACATTATTTAACATAGAAATCATAATGAAACATAGAGAGCAATTGATAAACACTAGATAGATATATAGATAGAGTCATCATTCTTTAAATGGAATAAGTTGTACTATAGTTATACCTTAGTTTTTTTGTTTGTTTGTTTGTTTGTTTGTTTGTTTGTTTGTTTGTTTTTGGTGGAACCGGGGATTGAACTCAGGCCCTTGCGCTTGCCAGGGAAGCACTTATTCTACTGAGCCATCTCCCTGGCCCCCTACCTTAGATATTGTGTAACTTAGATAAGACTACTTTATTATGTATTATGAAAGTCTTGAAATATTTCCAATAGGACCCTGCCCCTTAGCTTAGTTGTTTAAGTGGCTGCTTCAACAAAGCAGTCAGCCTCAGGTTGCTGTGGTTCAATCCCCACAACTCCAGGCTGCCAAACATGCCCTTAAGGCATTCGGAGCCAGAAAACAGAAAACAAAAAACAAAAACAAAATCCTTCTGCATTAAAAAAAAAAAAAAAGAAAAGAAAAATATTTCCATTAATGATTAGATTTGAACACATAAAATATTACAGTTTTTCTCAGGTTATTCTGAGGATCTAGTGATTTAACTGAGTTTTCAAGTACAGTAACTGAGTTTATGCCATTATAGGCTTATACAACACCTGCTTAAAATTGTTTTATATTTTTCATGTGCTGATGATACAACACCTACATACTGCCTTTGTGTTTTTGAGTCCCCACCACCATCCAGGGACTTTTAACCTATGGCTTAGAGGCTTTTTTTTAGTAACAAACCTGTAAAGTTGTGTGCAAAGTATTATACATGTATTTGCCCTTTTCTCTGGCAAGTGTTTCTGTGGTTTTCAGCAAATTTCAAAGAAGTCTAAGAAACTTCTTTGTTACCATTTCTTCATTTTCTGTTTATTCCATTTATGCGACTTGGAGCTTTTGTTTGTTTGTTTATTTATTTATGGTTTTTCTTTTGAGTGTCTGCTATGTCTTGACCAGTCTGGCCAGGACCTAATAATGACTGTATGATTACCTTTGTTCATCTATCATTGTAGACATTGGACATTATGTTGTGTTTTAGATGCCAAATATAATTAATTCTGAATGTGGTTGTCTTCCACAGACCATTAAAGTCACCACTTTTTGTTAACTCACAACACATACATGTGGGATGTAGATGTGAAATGATCTCCAATTTTTAGCTTACTTACCAAATGAAGATCTGGACTTGGTTGTCTGAGAATAGCTGGGATGGCAATTAGTTGTGTAAATAAATGATATAGTGATTTGTTTACCTTTTCATTTATTAACTTCTAGACTTGGAAATAAATTCTGTACGTATAACCATTTAGTTTGGTTTAGTGGGGAGAGGGTAGGAGGGTGGCTGTATATTCAGGGCGGGTTACTTGTTTTTGCAGTGACAGATGCAGGTGACTATTTGCAATGGATACATATTTTCAGTGGGAAAAATATTTTTTTTTCTTTCTGTTTTCTATAGATGTCATCCAAAACCTCAAAAAGAAACTTACCTGAGTGGTTCACCAAAGGAAATGAGACCATACTCATGACCAGCAACAAACCAGTGACCAAAACAAAAAAGAAAGGTCTTTTTAGTTAAGTTGGCAGTTACCAGAACAATGTTGTGTATCTTACTATATAAGAGCTATATTTCATTTCTAAAGAGAGAAGTCATTTTATCTTAAAAAATATTGTAATCTCAAAGTAAACTTACCTATATATTGAAGCACCATCAATCCTCTATAGTTCAGATAAACTATTTGGGTCTTCTAAGAACCTAACTGCTTATATCGTACAATAATAGAATATTAAATTAGATTTTCTGCAAATTACTTTGAAGAACTCTGTTACTGCCCTGTTTTTTATTCTCTTTATTTATTGCAAAAGTGTATTTGGAAAATGTAATGTGTGGTAATTTAATAAAAGTAATACATAGGTTGTATAGTGACTATAGGATATACAATACTCATTACCAAAATTTGTTTTGTAAGAAAGCATAGTTATTTTACAAATTGTCTTTACAAGCCATTTTTGTAGCATTGTTAGATGGTATTAGTCAACCAGATCAATGAAAATAGAGCAATATTTTGAATTTTAATTGAGTGGACAAAAACAATGTAATAAACAGGAATTCTGATTGTGATTGGCAACTATACAATTTGTATTTTCTACACAGCTCTATTATTTTTCTAATAATAAAATGATGAATATAATTCTCACTGAATATTATAAAGATCCATGTAGTATATTTTCACTTAAAGTATCTTGTTTTATTTGAGGACGTCAGAATTTGATTTGACTTTCTTTTACATAGCTCAGATATCTAAAACTCATTCTCTGACTTAGAATTGGATTAACAATGGTTGTAACTTTAAGCAGTTTGCTATACAGTTTATACATTCCAAAGCCTTTAACTTTTATGTAAATAAAAATAACTTTTTAATAAAAAGAAGTGCAAGTTTGTTGCAGAACTAGAAATCCAAAGAGGTAAGGAAAACAAAGCAAACCATCATAATCAAACATAGTTCCTCTAACACATACTCAGTCTTTTTGTATATCCTGTCAAACCTTTGCATATTCACTTGTTTTCTTAGTTTGAATTTTTATTGTAAAATATTCAAGTTGTACTTAAAATGTAAAAACCCTCCATATTTCATTTTTATGTATCTGCTTATTTCTTCTACATTCTTGTGCCTTTGCTCTTATATCTACAATACATGTAGCAGTGTTATGCGGACAAAGTGGCAGGTATGCAGAAAACACTTCCTGTGTGCCAACATATCAAACACATTTTGATTGTGAATGGAATTCTTTTACATGGAGTACCATTTTTATTGAAATAAAAATGATTGAAAAAATGGCTTGGTTATTTAGACGTGGGTATTTGACAATTTTTCGCAAGATTGAAGTTGCTCTCCTGCTTCAAGGAAAACATATTAAGTTATTTATTGCCAATAATAACAGTTTGTGATTTTGTTTTTCTTTCTGTATTTTAGGGAAGGGTCTATAGGGTGGTCAGGGTCTCACTACTAGATCAGACTCAAAGTGATTCTTCTGTTTACAGCCTCCCAAGTGCTGGGATTATAGGTGTGTACCACCATGCCCAGTCTCAATTGCCATCTCAGCCCAGGGGCAGGGCTGGCACAGCTGGCCCAAAAATTTGTGATTTTGGAAAACTGTTTGTCAGTCAACTTTCCTTAACCTAAATACATTTCTAGCGAGATTAATAATGATAATATTTAACAAATGTGGTTTTCTTTAGGTATTATGTAAAGTGTTACTTATATTTAAAAGATTTGTGACTGACCTTGTGAGATACAAAAGTTACATTTCTTGTTATATAGGTCTTGCTTTATCTTGGTCTTAACCATCCAGCAAAAAAGTGTAAAAACAAGGTATAAAAAGTAAAGCCATATTAACATGCTGAGCTGTAAAAGGCTCAAGTCAACAGCTTCTGACATTGCCAGTCCTATGGATAACCCACTACTTTTATGGACTACTGGACTATATTGGATTATTTTGCTGAAGTCATGCACCTACAATATTTAAATGGCAATGGAATACCCACCTCTGACAAAACTAAACAAAAAAAGGGGATACAAATGAAGGACCATTTTGTATCTGTATATACAACATAGTTAGGATAGATATATAGCTACTTTTTCTTAATTCAATGAGAAGAAAGATTTGTACTAATAATGTTTGGACAGGATATCATGTCTGCATCTGGTACTATGAATAACCACTACAAAGACAACAATATGCAATGTATTAATTATAACTGTCCTACTAACCTGCTTTGAAACAGTCTCATTGTTATTTGTTTCTCAATAAAATTAAAAAAGTCAAAAATAAAAAATAAAAGATTTTTATAACTCAGTGAATGAATATTTTCTGTATGACTTTCATTTTGTATAATCATGCATGGATAAAAGATGAATCAGTGAATTTAAATTGCAGAAGAGTTTAAAAAGGTTAATTTGTGTGATTGCAGATCATGCACTCAGCTAATCCTTAAGAAACCAACTACATATTTGTATGACGTCAAATTTCACGTGCTTCAGTCAGAACAGCACACCAGCATAGACTGAATGTAGAAGCAGATCTGAGAATCCAGCCATTTCAGTAACGCTAAACAGAAAGATGTGCATAATTGAAATAATGCCACTTGTTACTGTTTTTTTTTTTAAGAAATAGTATTTATCTTAACAGGTAATGGGTTTACTATTTAAGCAAACTAATAAATATTTTTTAAATCTCTTGGATTGGATTTCTAACTTGGTAAACCATGATCAGTGTTAACCTGCGTTAACAGATGCCCTTTGGGGTCCTCAATAAATTGTAAAGGTAAGGAAGGGGTCGTCTTGTAACCTGGAGGTTGAGAGAGGCTGATGTTTAGTATAGTTTACACTGTAAATCATTTAACTGGCTTCATACTGGTGGTCATTGAAGTTTCCTCCAATTTTCTTTTTTTTCCTATTTTTTTTCAAAGTTTTATTGATAAACAGATAGCAATGAGACAGTTTCAAATCCAATCAGAAGTACAGTTTCAACAAATAATACACTTTTTTCCTATTTTTAATAGCCCTGCTTTGAATGTTCTTGAAACAACACATAGTATAGTCTCCCACCAGATACCTATCTAGAGGGAGAGAATCTTTTATTAGTAGCAGACTTTGTCTCTTTTCCCCTGAAGTCACTACTGAGCAAGAGTTGGTGTACTTTTAGCATATGAAAATTCTTTTTTTTTTTTTTTAAATAATTCTTTAGTGAAGCTGAAATAGGTATGCCAAAATGAGACATGGGAAGAAAGAAGGTATTGCTCACCTGCTAGTTACGGCTTTCTTGAAGTTAGCCCTAACTTTGAATATTACAGGTAAGTGAGACATTTACTTTGGGTAAACGTGTGAACAAAATTTTGTTTTTAACTTCTGCTGGGGTTCAGCTGTCACAGCCATATTGTGATGTGCCAGTACTTGATAGAAAGATGACATAAAAATTGGAAAGTTTCTAAGCATATGGAATTTCAGAGTTACACCAAGTAGAAGTCAAAGCACCATGCTCCCAGGTGAAAATATAAAGTCCCAGATCTCCAGATTGTCAGGAATTTTCAGAGGCCTTTGGATTTCCCCAGGGGCTCTCCCTCATTCTCTGCCACCTGAGTGTGCTTTGGCAGCGCTGGCTACACCAGGTGTAAGTAGTTGGTAGAAAACAACCTCAGCACATTACACACAGAATAGGTGGCCTAAGGATTCCCAGGTGTAGCATCACCTTTCAGCATTCCCAGACTTCTACTTTGCCTTGTGTTTGTTCTTTAAAAACAAGATTTTTCTTCTAGGGCTTGGTTATTAGGCTATCTCATCCAGAAAATACTAATTGCTTTCTCTTCTGTATTATTTGACATTTGTCCGTAAAACCGGGCACACAGCATTAGGAGAGAAAAATCTGACAGTTATTTAGAATTCAAAAGTCTGTAGCCCTACCTGTTAGAATAAGATGCAGAATCTTTCCTAGTCAAATGGATAGCATCAAATTAAGCATGAAGGATCCAGTGGAATGATCTGAAATTAGCTTTAGGGCTGAATCAACATTTGACCCTTATGAGGAACAGTGAAGTTCAAAACCACAAACAGTAAAAATTAGTCCAGTCTTGTTGAGAGTTGCAAACTTCAACAAATTGCAGCTCTCTCTGAGAAGATTTTGATTAGGACAGCAATTCAAAACTCAGGGTAGAACCCCCTGCCCCATACTGGCTGAATGTTTTTAAAGACTTTCTCAGAAAAAGAAAAAAAAAATTATTTTCACATGGAGTCTTCTAACTCAATTTATAAAAAATACTGAATAGAAGTTTGCATGTGTAGTGTGCACTTCTGGTTGACCTCATAAAAGATAATGGAAAGGGAAGAAAGTGCAGCATGGGTCCCAAGCTCAAGACAGGGAAAAGAGTGATTCTGTGACCCGCCAAAAATATTGCCAATAGGAAAATATTTTTAAGAAAACCCCACATAAGATATAAGAAAAAAATTGTCTTGGGAAAGAAAAACAGGAGATCATATAAAGAAATAGTAGCTTTTATAACTAATAACTTACAAAGGCAGGCCAAATAGATCAGTGGATTTAAGCGCCTACAAGCAGGTATAGGGGCTGGAGGTTCAATTCCCAGGCTTGCCATGCTGGCGGCGGACTGAGATGGCAATTGAGGCTGGGCGTGGTGACCCACACCTGTAATCCCAGCCCTTGGGAGGCTGTGTAGACCCTTCCCTAAAATACAAAACCTAAATTGGTAACTTATGAAGTATTTCCTGTTTGTTAACCTTCAGTACAGCCTAAAAAGATAGAGTAATGCATTTGTCTGTGAAAACAGGGAAACAAAAGAGAAAAATCATATTATGGCTGTTACCAGGTAACTTTATTTTTTCTGTATTTAGGACATAGTCTACAGGGTCTCACTACACAGATCAGACTTGTAGTGATTCTCCTGTTTTCAGCCTCACAAGTGCTGAAAATTAAAGGTGCACACTAACACACCCAGTCTCAGTTGCTGTCTCAGCGTGCCCTGGGCTTGGAGTGGGGCCATCGCGGCACCTGCTGTGCTCTGCCTTAGTCCACCGAGCTATCAGGTCGGCCCTACCAAGTAACTTTAGAGCAAGTGAGCTTCCCTCATTTTCCTGAATTTGCCTAAGAATTGCTAACAGAAGAAACCAAGTATCTTAAATCAGAGTGTTTCTAGCTGTTAGTTTAAAAGTACCTTTTTAGCAACCTGTTGCTGTCACCTCTTCCTGTGGGGGTAGGGCAAGAACTTACCTGTTATTCTTTCCTTCCCGTGAGAGGTGTTTCACTCCCTCTTCCTAAAAGACCGTAAGTACTGAAACAACTCAGTAGATTTAACATGTGGCTTATCTCTGAAAGTTTCTGACCTACTGATCCAGCAGAGTCTGCATATACTGGGTTTGGGAGATAGGATGGGCTGAGAATATGAGTGTGCAAGGGGCAGTCATCTGTCAGAGTGAGGCCATAGGAGCTTCCTAGGGGTTAAAGGCCATCCTTATCATACAGTACCTGTAGAAGAGGGCTGCCTGATGCTGAGTGCATCCCACTGGCAAGACATCCACTAGTAGGAGGCTAGATCTTCTGAACAACCAACTAATGTACCTCTAAGAGGCAGCAGATCAGTGGTATCCCAACACAGCATAGCTGCCTGTCAGCCAAGGAAGCAACTACTGCCACAAGAATGCATGGTTTTATTTTTCCTTTCCCTTTTCATATTCCAACTCCAAAGTGGAAGTGCATAAAAGAGGGAGGACGAATGAAAGAGGCAAATTAGACCAGCTGTTTAGCTTGATCTGGGTGGGGATTGAGAGTAGAACTTTGAATCAGATAGGTACTTAAAACTTAAGAACTAAAATACTGTTCCAACATCTCGATGGAGAGTTCTGGAATTGGACTGAGATAAAGGGACCTAATACCCATCGAGAAAGGAAGATTTGACATTTGTAGCAATTACCATAATAAGTCATAATAATATCATAATTTTATTATGAACTCTCCTATAAGCTGCTGTTGATCAGCAGACTAAGTACCTGCTT